GTCTCCAGTTTTTGATTGGCCATTGATTGACTCCTTTAATTATGGGAAATTCATGAACTCTTGAGCCAATATATTTACCCTCTAAACAATAGTACTGGGGATTTCCACCCTCTAGATCAATGAAACCAACTTGATAATGATGCAGAAAATTCATATTGAGTGAGTAATCGATGACCTGTACCCACTTAAGGATAGAACTGTATTAAATTGCCTTCTGATCTATAGCCATCATTGAAACATAGTTCCTTCTTGTGGCCATCTGAGTTAAATGGCCAACAGGTTAAATAAAGATTCTCAGGACAGTGACTGCTTCTCGTTTAGCTAATTTCTCCATGAGGTTATGGCAATCTTTGACTGAGAAGAAAAACCAGTTTGTGGAACACTAACCTACTCAAAAGAAGGGAGTTCATAACATCTAGGGCAGGTTCAGACAGAGGGTAGCCGTGTGCTACAGGACAAGTGAAAACCACAAGGAGTGAAGCTGATTCCTATACAGTCGTGGTCGTTCTAGTCTATGGAACCTGGTCACAGAAGGGCTCACTGTCTGGCTTCACTTCCCCTACTTTTCAGAATCCTTTCCTACTGATGCTTTAGTTACAGGGATGTAATAAAAGCTTACAGAGTACTGCTGCTGAATAGCAAACAAAGTTCCACAATAGGTTCACATATAAACTATTATCAATTTTAAAGAGTAGTTTTCTTGGGTTATAAAATCATTTGTTTGTTTCTGGAAGGGGAGAGAGCTATACAGGGAAGAAAGCCACCTCTCATGTAAAATTTGGTTTTCATAGACTTGGGACTTTAGAAGTCATTCCCTTAAATGACCCCCTTTTTGATACTTCATGATGATTTATTGATTTATTTTACATCCTGACAGCAGGTTCACCTCCCTCCTCTCTTCCCAGATCCCCCCCAACTCTCCATCTGTCTTCACCCTCAATCCACTCCTCCTCTATTTCTCTTCAGGAAAGGGCAGATCTCCCATGGATATCAACAAAACATGGCATATGAAGTTGTAATAAGACTAAGCACCTCCCATATATCAAGACTCAGCAAGGTGACCCAGTATGAGGAGTAGGGTCCCAGAAGCCAGGAAAAAAAGTTGAATACAACCCCTCCTCCCATTGTTGGGAGTCCCACAAAAAGATCAAGCTTCACAACTGTCATATACATGCAAAGAACCGAGGTCAGACTCATGCAGGCTCTCTGGTGGTTGGTTCAATCTCTATGAGCCCCTATCAGCCCAAGATAGTTGGTTCTGTGGGTTTTCTTGTGGTGTCCTTGACCCCTTTGGCTCACACAATCCATTCTCCTCATCTTCTGCAGGATTCCCTGAGCTCTACATTCTCTCCACCATGAGCTGTCATTTGTTTTTGATCTTAGCCATTCTGGCAGGTATAAGATGGATTCTCAGAGTTGTTTTGATTCACATTTCCCTGATAACTCAATGTTGACCATTTCTTTAGGTGTTTCTTGGCCATTGGAGATTCTTCTTTTGAGAATTCTCTGTTTATATCTGTTCCCCATTTTAAAATTGTATTATTTGGGGTTTTTTGATATCTAGTGTTTTTGTGTTCTTTATATACTTTGGAGATCAGCCCTTTGTCGGATGTGGGGTTGGTGAAGATCTTTCCCCATTCTGTAGGCTACCGTTTTGTCCTATTGATGCTGTCCTTTGACTTATAGAAGCTTTTCAGTTTTATGAGGTCCCATTTTTTAATTGTTGATCTTGGTATCTGCATTATTGGTGTCCTGTTCAGGAATTTGTCTCCTGTGCCAATGTGTTCAAGGTTATTTCCCACTTTTTCTTCTGTCAGGTTCAGTGTATCTTTATGTTGAGGTCTTTAGTCCTCTTGGCTTTGAGTTTTGTGATAGATAGGGATCTATTTGCATTCTTCTGTGTGCCAACATTGGATTATGCTAGCATCATTTGTTTAAGATGCTTTCTCTTTTCCATCGAATAATATTGGATTGTCAAAAATCAGGTGTTCATTGGTATATAAATTTATGTCTGGGTCTTCAATTGGATTCCATTTTTCCACCTGTGTGTTTTTATGCCAATACCATGTGGGTTTTATTACTATAGTCCTGGAGTATATGGAGCTTGAGATCAGAGATGGTGGTGCCTCTGGAAGTCTTTCTACTGTACAGAATTGTTTCAGCTTTCCTGGATTTTTTGTTTTCCCATATGAAGTTGAGTGTTGTTCTTTCAAGGTCTGTAAAGAACTGTGTTGGGATTTTAATGGGGGGATTGTGCTGAATCTGTAGATGCTCACTTACAATTCCTTTATGTACACACTTAACCCCCAATCCTCCCCAGTAAGACTGACTTCACCCTGCTCCTCTACTGCTCTTTAACAGAAACTGATTCTTTTACAGGCAACTAATTTATTTGCTTTATTTCAGAGCCAAGGAAGGGAAGGGTGGAAAATATAGACAACAAATGAAGGGAAAAGTTTAAAGGAAGCCTGGAAAAGAACAAAATAGGAAAATCAGTTGGCCCATGATACCAGATAAATAACCAGCAATTGCCCCAGTGCGACAGAAAAATCTGAGGTTAGGCAAGCTTGGTGAGATGGCTCGGAGGGTGAAGACACGTTACCTGAGTTTGATATCTAGAACCCATGGAAAGGTGCAAGAAGTGGCTGCACACTCACCAGAGTACATGTGCCACACTTAATTTAAAAATATTTATGGCCACTCCTCTTGGGTTCAGCTCCAGACTCTATTATTCCTAGTCATAAACCCAAGTGAATCTGGTTGATTCTCCAGGCCTTGCTGTCGGCTGGCACAGCTGCTCCAGTTACTGAGCATATCTGTCAGTGGGCACTTCTCTAGCAATCTACTTAGACAAGGTACTGCTTCTTCCTAGTAATGGACAGTACAGAGACACACAGGTCAACCCCTGCCCACACTCAAAACAAGCAAGCAAACAAGCAAACAAGCAGAAGAGTAGAACACAAAGGCCAACACCGTGACTCATTTCAGGCCAACTCTGAAGGCCTGCCAGTTTCAGGCCCCACTAAACTATAGGCTCAGCTGAGGTGTCTACTGCCCCTATGTTGAGAGGGGCTTGTCTTTCCAACCAGAGCCTCACTTCCTTCCAGGAACCTCTGTTAGCCAGTCACCACTCGAACTTCTTCAGGAAAGGTATTTCTGGGATACTCTGTCTATGACATGGCACAGAGTCACAGTGCACTTTCATGTCAAGTCAGAATCACGGCTGAAACTCATTTTTCACCTCATTCTTGATGACTGTAACACTTTCTGCACCCCAAACTCAACCTATGAGAGCATAATTCTTCTTCCTGTGAGGTGTGAGACACTGGTGGCTTAAACAAACAGGTCTGGAAGTAGCGAGCTCAGCTTGCTGTGACTACACCAGCTGCTGTTTTGGCTTGAGATTCCCTAGAAGTAGAGTCTGAGATGAAGAAAGACTCAAGTGAAAATGATGAATCAGAATCAGTCTTGCTTCACTAATGTGCAAAGGACAGTCACACGTCTGTGCAGGACACAGAAACCTATGCTTGACTAATGCTCTGCTATAACATTTTAAAATTTTTAAATAATTGTGAGCATTTTGTCACTTTGTATTGAGCCACGGAAATCCTACTGCAGGTCCGAGTTAGGACTTACTCCCTAGAAAATGCGACAAGAGAGTAGAAAGTAGAAGTGGGAAGGCTGAGAAGGACAAGGGAAGCCGCACTAAGCAAAACGCTGGCGGAAAGGGGAGACTGACGCCACTCCTGTAGGGAGTGCCACCGTCAGCATAGATGCAGCCTCGCCATTAGCCCAGTTAGGGTCAAAATGCAGTATTGTCACCTCCACACTTCCGTCGCTGGTTAAAGATAAGATGTAGAAGCTATGTTCGCTACCTGGCACTTCCAGCTGTCCTGTGGCCAGCAAAGGACATCCGGAAACTGAATGTGGTAGTCTGACCATGACATGTAGATGCTGGCAGGAATCAGTGTTCTTAAAACTGGAGAAGGATCATAAGGGATACCATCAAATGCTCACATAAATCTCTCAAGTTGAGCCTATGCTTTAATAGGAACAGGCAAAAAAATGAAGGCTTTATGATCAAACTATGTATGATTTCATGAGCAGGATTACACACTGGAAAAGGTATATACTCATTTATATGATACAAGTGAGTCTCTATATATTATGTATACATAGTCTATATACTATGTATATTATATAGAATACTACACATGTGTATATCACATATACAAGCTTTCTATGATATATGTAATAGGAGGCACAAGTACATGGAGATGGACTGTGAGTCAGCAGAGTTCGGGAAACAGGTCCAGAGCCATGGGTAAAAGCACAAACTGTGTAAACACCCTGCATTGAAAACTCCACGCTGGCACTTTCAGACTGAGTGGGTTAACTTTGCCGTGCCTACCTACTAGGGTTTGCTAAGAGAATGAAGAGATTTAATATATGTACGGCTCTTAAAGCAACATCTGCCACACAGGAAGTGCTAGTTAAATGTTAGCTCTGACTGTTCTTGCCTTTTGGCTAATATGATCGGAACTTCCCACCTCTCTGTAGCGCATACAGCTGTCCCCCAGTGCCCAGAGGGGACTGGCTCCAGGACCATCCCCCACTCATATACTAAAATCTAAGGGTAGAAAACTCTCAGATAATGACACAGTATGTACATATAATTTACCTACATCTTACATATGATAATGCTTAATTATTCCTAGATTATTTATTATGTAGTCCTATACAGTGTAAATATTAGTTTAACAAAATACTGTATTATAAAGGAAACAAAGATAAGAAAAACATACTTGTTCAGTACAGACTCAATTTTGTTTTCAAGTATTTTCAACCTGTAGCTGACTCTGAGGGTGCAGACCCCACAGATACAAATGATAAACTGTATTTTATTCTTAATTTGTTGCAGGCTGATGTTTTAATAAGAGAGAGAGACAGAGAGAAATACAAAATGGAGGAACAAAATAAAAGACCACACTTCAAATGACTTGATTTTATGACTTGATTTTAATAGATAATTTCTGCAAAAGCTTGTACAGGATCTCCGGTTTCTGTTCTCTCCTTGTGCGGACAGCTGTTGATAGACTGCTCTGTAGTTACAATTGAAGAACACTGAACCAGGCACTCTTCACAAAGCCACTGAGGTTGTTTCTGTCACAGGCTGAAGAGAGGAAAACTAAAAGGACACAAAAACTGAACGCTGTAAGGATCAAGAGATGGAAATCACTGGAACGACCATGATAGTCACTTCTTGTGTCCGGCCATTCTGTTTAGGGTACATCTTAGAACTGCCACCATCTGAATCAGCTGAGTGTTTCCTAACCCTGTACAAAGTACGAAATAAAGGGCAGGCTGCGGTTTGCACCTCAACAGGAACATTCTCTGGAGGCTGCTCAGACCACACTTGCCAAGCAAGGCGTACTTGAGTCAGTGTAAACAGGAGTGAATTTAATGCTAGCTGTGGGGTTCAGTGCCTAGATCCCAGCATGCAAGGACTCACTTCTCTGCTGCAGGTGACTCCAGGGAAAGACTCACCCAATGCTAGACTTATTTATTCTTTGAATTTTGTCTGATTTCTCATTTTAAAGAATATCTTTCATTTATTCTTTGGCAATTCATGCATGTATCTTTATCACACCCAACTTCCCCTCCCACTCTCCCACCACACCCCTCAACATGTTTCCTTCCTTCCTTCTTTCCTTCCTTCCTTCCTTGCTTGCTTGCTTCCTTCCTCCCTCCCACCCTTCCTTTCTTCCTTCAACACATTGGGTCCAGTTATTGCTCCCTGCTCTCACCCAATACTAATGTCATTTTTCAAAGGGCCTGCCCATGTTGGTTCTTGGTGACCTACTTTGGCCTTCTATCTCGATCCTGCTAAACGAGAAAGCAGGTATCTGGAAGTGCTCTAGCAGACTGCTGAATCTTACCATTTCTACACAACCATCTCTATTGAACTCTGACTTATTGAAAGCAAACTCCCTTGGGTTGGTATCTCCTATCACGTTTAGCATAATGCTTGACAAGCAACAGGTGCTTCTTTTCTTTGAACGACTGTAAGCGGCTATTGTGGAAGCAAAATTGGCCCTTCAATCTACCAAACTCTAAATCCATACAAAACGGCGGCGGGGTGGGGGGGTGGGAGGTGGAGTGGGGAGACTAGCCTGATTCAATTACTTTATTACGCACAATTCTGTCAAGTTTGGGGGATTTGGATGCACAAATTTCACAGAGATCAAGGGGCAAGGCATGGTAGGTGATGTACTTAACTTTTAGCAATCTGGTTTTACCTTAATTTCTGAAAAACAACATCCCTGTGGCTCCAGAGCCCTTTAAATATGACGGTGGCCATTTCCTCAGACTTTTCTGGATCAGAGCCTCACTTTTGTGTAGGGGTTTGGCAGAGCTCATCTTCGCAGCCCGGGGACACTGCGGAGAACCTGGGTGGCGCGTGGAAAAGGCCGCGCGGTTGCCTGCT